TTGAAATTTAGCTCAGAATTTTCTAAGGATATTCCTAAGAAATCCGTTGGAGGTATTGTTTAAATTCTAATTGAATATACGTTGGAATTACCGTTGAATTTTGCTCCTATTCCTTGGTATTCAACTCACAACTATGAAATTTTCACCTGAAAAATTACTGTCCGAAGTACCATGGTATTACATATCTCTAGAATCTATTCTAAAATCTGTTCAAAACTGCTTTGGAAAAAAGTTCTTTTAATAGTTCTTTAAAGTAACTGTATCCAAGGGTCTTGAGATTTTTTAAAGAGAGGAAGAAGCACCTTTTTTTCTATTTGGCATCGAAGTTCACGAGTTTATCCCGGTGACATCGAATTTCCGGCATTTTCCAGTAACCCCGATTTTCCGGTCACACTGATTATTTAATTTTGCAGTTGAATCTGGACTCCTACAAGGTGCGAAATCTCAAATAAAAGTGTGCTTTGATGATGCATCGTCTTGGTTTCTTCTGCGTACTTTTTCGTAAGTTAGTTTAATGAACTTCCAACTAAGAACTAAGCATAGTGTAGCACTGTTACAATTTTTATTTATTTTTAACAAATTTTACATTGCAATGCAAGCGGGAATGGCGAAAATAGTGACTTTAGTGACTTTTTGTCGAAAATAGGGACTTTTTAGTGACCACCTTCAAAAAAGTGACAAAGTCACTAAAAAGTGACCCGCTATCAGCCCTGCGTTAAGCATCTCCAAATATTTAAATCGTTAACTTCACGCATGAAGTAATAAAACATGCTTCCATAAATCCATTTTAAATTTACTTGAATTCTCCTTAGAATTCCTATGCAATTAACCTCAGAAATATCATAAATTTCAGCTTAGAATAATCTTGGACTTCTCCCCTGAGTTCTATTGGAAATTTAATTCGTATTCGCTTCAGAATTCCCATGGCATTTTCTTAGATTTCTAATAACAGAAATCCATCTCAGAATGCCCTTGAAACTCTTCGAAGAATTCCTTTGAGATTGAACCCTCAAAAATCGATTCCATTGGAATTCTTCTCGGCATTTATCTCTCTTGGAAGAATTCTCAGAAATGACCCCACAATTCGTTTAGAACTATCCGCAGAGAGCATCTTTGGAGTTCACGGGATTTACATGGAATTCTCATCAGAGCGCTCTTAAAAATGTAAGAACTAGTTTTGAATTATGATTAGAACTGGACGTACAATCCTCATCCAATCATCATAGAATTCTTCTCAGAACTCTCGTTAAAATTGACTTGGAGCTCTTCTCTCATTTATATTGGTATTATTTTATGGTATTAATTTGGCGTCTTTAATAATTTAAACAATAATCAAATTGATAATTTTTCATAGACTTATGAAAATCTAGCACAGACAAATACTCTTGAAAAGTTCCCAAGGTCTAGGTTAAAATTGTTAAATTTTCAACAGATATGCATATTTTGTCATAACTACTGTAGACTTCCTTAGGGCCAAGTATTCAATTTAAAAATGTTGTTGATTTTTTTCCCATTTCACTCTATTTTGGTTGTGAAAAAGTGACTTTAGCGACTATTTTTAGGGAAATAGTGACTTTAGTGACTTTTTGGTGTGAAAAGGGGCTGCCTTTAAAATAGTGACAAAGTCACTAAAAAGTGATCTACTACCAGCCCTGCTATTGCAAAACAATAGGGGTATTCACTATGCGCATCGTAAACATATACACTATCGTAAAAATACCAGGGTGCATTGGAGTGTAATGGAAGTTTACGCATTTACGAGGGTGTAAACACTTACCATGCGCTTTGTGAATACCCCTATTGTGTTTTGGCAGCATTTGGACCATTTTTGAGTGGATCAATTATGGGAAAATTTATGTATGTAAGCAAGCAACAAAATAGTCATAGTTGAAAGCTAAACAAAAGTTGCATAAGTGTTAATCCTACCAAGCAGATGATTGCACATATACTCAGAATTGAAAGCAGAAGAACAAATCAGGCGAGAAACTGAAAGAATGTGAAAAACGTTCTCACCGAGTGCAAAATCGAAAATAACAGATTAAGGGCTGAACGAACTGAAGGTCTGACTGAAGCTATAAAATCAGCCAGAAATATTTTTTGGCTTAAATTCTCCCCATTTGAATTAGTTTTATCTGAACAAAAACATAGCTAAAATAAAAAAAAACTGTTTTCATTGCCTAAAAATACCACTTGTATACTACTACATGGCATTTCAAACTTATTGCTTATAGCATATTAGATTTTTGTCTGCTCTCAACTTAGCGTTCTTTGAAGTACCTTAAGATTTTAATTGAGAGCTTTCTATGCCTGTACCATCCTATGCCCAAGGAAGTAGAGAAATTTTCCAACCTGAAAAATCAATAGACCGGACGTGAATCAAACTCAGTCGCCTCCAGCATGGACTTGCTTTGTAGCTGCGCCTTTACCGACTGAGCTAAAGAAGTATCGTTTGTAACATTTGATTTTTTTTTAAATAACATTGTATCCTCTTCAGTTATTTATGTATAGTATAAATTCTGAGTAATTAGTGAGCATAATAAAACACCTTTACATTATGAGATTCCATTGAATAATACCGGCCTAGATTTGATGAAACATTATTTAAAAAAATAATACATTTTCATTTGAAATGCAAATTTTCTTGAAAGTTAACCTTTGCGTCTTTGACGTATTTTTCTGTCCTAAATGTTGTAGTTAATTTGGTTCTAGTTTTATCAATTTTATACCGATTCAAACCAAACACCCTGCACATAATCGAGAAACTACAAGTGTTGTATAAGTCACACTTATTGTTCACGTCGCGGTTCTGTATTTACACGGATATTCCTTGCGTTCTGTCCAATGGTGAGACATTTTCAGGATTTGTTTTAAATTCTAATATGAACCTAGAACTTTTCGTTGTCAAATCATATCCGAATTGTAGATATGTGACTATTTGGATCATGCACGCCTTGTTACTATGTATACCGGAAATTATAGGTTTTCCAAATCGTCCAGGACATCAGTTGATTTGTTCTACTAGATCAACTATGCCTATGCGGATCATGCATGATCTATTTCCGAGTAATCCAGATGTTCAAAGTTCTTCAAATCGTCCTGGAGTTCAGATAATTTGATCTACTAGATCAACCGAGATTGGGATAATGTCTTTAGTATCGAAATATTTCCAGACAGATGAACAGTGTCAATGTGGATCATGGATGAACTATTGTCATGTATACCAGATGTTTTAAGTTCTCCAAATCGTTCTGGAGTTCAGATGATTTATTCTACTAGATCAACCATGACTGGGATAAAGTCTGTAGTATCGAAATATATCCAAACAGATTCGTAGTGTATATATGGATAATGGTTAATTATTTCCACGTATACCAGATGATCTAGGTTCTCCAAATCGTCCTGCAGTTCAGATGATTTGTTTTACTAGATCAGCAAAGGCTAGTATAATATCTGTAGTATCGAAATATCGATTTGGAAATCCTAGAACATTTGGCATACACGGAAATAGGGTGGCATGATCCACATATAGGCTAAAAATTTGTTGGGGCATATTTCGATACTAAAGATATTGAATTAGTCTTGGGTGATGTAGTAAACAAATAATCTGATCCCCAGAATGCTCTCAGAACCTATAACATCTTGTATACGTAATAATAGGTCGGACACGATCCACATAGACCCCTTTGAATCTATTTGGACATATTTCGATACTACAGACATTATTGGGGTCTTGGTTGATATAGTAGAACAAATCAACTGAACTCCAGGACGATTTGGAGAACCTAAAATATCCGGTATACATGGCAATTACTCGCATATACATCCGCGAAATCCGCGCCTGTTGTAACAGACCTGCAACTTATCCCGGTATTCCTGGTTCACTTGTCACCAGTGGCGTCGCCCTAACCTCAATCTACCTGTTCAACAACTCTCAAAACGTAAACAAATTAAAAAAATATATCTATCCCATTCCCGAGCAAAGTCTGAGATCAAATTGAAATCTAAATGATGATGTTGTGATTTCGCTGATAATGATTACTCAGGTTGCTGTCGTTTTGTTTATCATACGATATGAAAGTACATACCATTGGAGAGCACAAAGTATTGTTAACTTAAAACTGACAAAAAATACCTATAGGACTGATTAAAATCACCATAACATAACAGTGTAATGCAATACATGTTGCTGTTGACAATTAACCCTATTGTAATTGTATTGTTCGGAACATATTGCCGCTACACTCTTAATTCAGATCACCGAAGTCAGTAGAGTTTTACCGGGTTTTTGAACAGCAGATCAAGTCGGTAAAATTTTGAAATGACCGTTAAACGTGATAAATCAATAAAATTGACAGATTTTATTTTTTATAGCTAAATGGGGTAAATTAAACAAAGTCTGTACAAGTTCGGAATACATTTACTAATTATTGGATTTTTAATAGATTTTCAAACTTTTACCGAACAATTCTGTAGTTCAAAATTTACCGATCGGCAGAGGCCTGGATTAGTGTGTACAATTGTTGACTTTTGACACAACAGGCAGTATCAAGATGTTTTGTCGCTCAGTGTATCGTTTCCAAAATAATTCCACGTTGCCTGACAAATTTCTAATTGCTCACTGCTACAAAGAAAAAAAAAATCACGTGACGATCTGGAAAAGTCCATGTAGGATTCCAACCCAAACTACCAGGCTTTTTCAACAGCAACACAAAATCGTCCTGCCCATAAAATGTTAACGGACGCTCCATTCATAACAACAAAAGAACTACTTTTCAGGTGTCACCCCAAATTGACGGAGGTACACTTTCCTCCACCAGGTAAACCCATTTCTATCGGTAATCCCCCTGATTGGATTGGGCCGCCTTCGATTGTCTCCTACCATGTCATAAAGCTCATTATATAATGCTTCGCAGACATTTGGCCATCTGACGTCGACCGTTACACGGTACGGGGTACAAGTTGCCGATGACGTTGGAATAATGTTCTAGTAGTCTACTAACCTGCGTCTGATGGCTGCTATTGTTCCACTGATGATGATTATGGTACTGGGTCATGAAACTCGGTGAGGCCATCATCTTGAGGGCACACACGGGGTTTCTTTTCGGGGCTTCGGGTAGTTTGCTTCCGGCGGCTACCTCGGTGGAATTATTCCGTTAAAAAACACTTCTTCTTCCACTTAGTCTTCTGTTTTGTCTTCCTCACTAAAGGTCAATCGATGGTCATCTCGATGTGCTGTATATGTAGCATAAGTATCACTTTAATCCACACTCGCTGGCTCATTTAATCTCATTAATTACGATTTTTCCACGCACCACATTTTTCTGCACACTCAAAATACACACCGCAGCACAGTGGGTCAGGTATGGTTAACACGGTGGCCAAAACTCACTACACTGGTCGTTCGTTCGTACACACAGGCAGAGGGCGTAAGACAAAGGGCTCCTTCAAAAACGTAAAACACGCCAAAATCCGTTCAGAAGGGGATTAACACTATGTAATTCTACCCGGGGCCGGATAATCGACTCCGTCCGTCCGTCCGTCCGAGCGCCGTCGTATTCTCGTTGGTCCGCGGATTGGCGCGCGCGGTGTTCAATTTTTCTTCGCAGGGACCCACCGAAATTGGATGGTTGGTCGCGGTTACTCCAGCATCCGAGAATTGTTGTAGCTGCTGCTGCTGCTACGGCTGCCGAGATGCTCTTGATGAGAGAAGCAGAAATTAAACTCTAAACACTATTATTAAGTCCTCTTCTCACTGGCGTTCATTAGGCCCCGGACTTGAACGTGTAGTGTTGATCAGGCGGGGTTGGTCCGGAGCTGGTGCGGGAGCGGCATAGAGAGAGAGAGGATACGCGGCGAAGGCCCCCGAAAAATCGATTCGCACACCACTCTCACGTACTGCTACACTGCTTTCTGGATCGAGCCGAAGCGCACCCGAACTCGCACACATACACTCACCAAAAGGTGCCCGACGAGCACTCTCTTCTTTGCCGATAGCTCAACAGTCTCTTGCAAATGCACGTCGTCGTAGCGCGCCTGCCGCCGATCTGCCTTCGAAAGCCCAACTGAACGCGAAACGAAGAAAAAACTTATAATTATAGGTTACAGATTGTACGTTTTTCCCTTCTCATCCGGCAGACGAATTTCAACTGAGATCAATTTTTGATTTTATTTTATTTTCCTAAAAAAACAACAATCCTGCTTGCAGCGTTGTATGCCATCTCTTTCCCTTCTAATCGATTCATACCATCGACGACCTTCGCATCTCTCGCTTTTGCTTATGATAGGTACGAACACAACGTAGCTCGTGGACTACCCCGAGGGACGTGAAGCGACGAGAGAGGACGAAGGTGACGATGATTCGGTACTTTTTCACTCTACCTAGGGCATTGACACTCACACTGGCAAATCACAGCACAACACATGCAACCAAACAAGGATCCACTCGTCTACAATAGACGCGTACAGCCGAATACTCTCGCTTTGACTGTGTGCGTGCATTAATAGCAGGGTCCAATCGCGATAGGCTATATTTAAGCAGGCGTGGCCGACACCCAAACAGTTTATTAACCACACGCACACGCATACAACCCCCAAATGAGATGATAGGTATGCAGCAACCTATTTCGCTCGCTCCTTCACCCAAAGTCGTCGGGTAGCTGAGTAGGTATTGAAGCTCATTTGCACTACTATTATTATTTGTTTGATGGTGCCTATACAGAACGGGCCCCGGCATCGATGATGGATGATGGCGATGACGGTCAAGATGACGGCGGTGCTGATGATGACGATGATGAGAGTGGTGATAGTTTTCCATGTGCTTTGGATGCACTTGGTGCTTGCCGCAGTACAGCCGAAGGATATTTTGAATGGGGTTGAAGGAGCGCAACGGTTGACCTAGTTGTGGGGGTTCGGTGCGTTCCGTCTGTGGTTTAGTTTCCTACTGATTGGTTTTGATTTTTAACGTTTTTTGCACTAGGACTAGACGGGAAAGATGACAGTGCCGGTTGTTTTGGAACGGCCATGGTAAATCCATCGTGAAAACAACTCGGAATGACCGTCTACTAGATTAACTTCATTTAAGGAGGTTAGAGACGACCGACACGTGTCTTCTTCTTCTACTCTTTTTAAGCTTCTGAGGCGAACGTTTTACCGGCTCTCAACTTAGTGTAGATGCACTTCCACAGTTATTAATTGACAGCTTTTGATGCAAACCAATACGTCAAAATTTGTAAATATATTGTGTGGCAAGCACAATTATACCATAGAGGTAACTTTAAGACTAGAAGGTCCCGAAGAAACGTGCTCAACTTTTTGGCTCAGCTCTGGTACCAACAAGCAATACGAAACTAACGATTTTAAATTGGCTCACCACTTTAGTAGCCTATTGGTCCCAAGCAAACGATTAACGTACCCTATTCTAGTCGAAATTCTAGTACTACGCAATGTTTGTTTTGATTCGCTATGAAAGTTTGACAGATAAAATAAGGGGTTATTGGTTTTACCTATGTTTCGAGGGGTGATTCGACAAGCTTGGGACCGAAGATAGTACCAGAGGTGAGCCAAAAAGTTGAGCACGTTTCTTCGGGACCTACTTGTCTTAGCATTTCCTCTATGCTGGTACTCTCTTCGGTCCCAAGCTAATCGATGCACTACTCGAAACATAGGAAAATCCACGAACCCCTCATTTTATCTGTCAGACGTGCATAGCGAATCAAAACAAACATAGTGTAGTACTAGAATTTCGACTAGAATGGGGTACGCTTATAGATGTACTTCGGACCAAAAGGCAAGTCAAGTAGTGAGCCAATTTTAAATCGTTAGTTTCCATCGGTTGGTATTACCGTACCTTTACTGACTAGGCTATTTGAGGCCTCAACCGACAATTGTCTGGTGATTTAATCAGAGGGGCTACAACCAACAATCAATACGGAACTAACGATTTTAAATTGGCTCACCACTTTAGTAGCCTATTGGTCCCAAGCAAACGATTAACGTACCCTATTCTAATCCATTAAAATCCATTTCTGAATGTCAATGTTCTTAGCCAATGTAACTCTAATTTGAATAGCATCAAACAAGGGGTTAGTTTTCAGTATTTCAGTAATTATGTCGATTAATGATTTCTGTAAAAATTCCATTTTAGGAGCAGAAATGCTACCTATGTCAAGATCATCAAAATTTCCTTTAGAATAATGTTGACCAGAATTTTGATTTTGATTTCTACTAGCTGCAAAAGTAGCATAGGTAGCTTCATTTACTTACTGAACATTGATAGCAGAATTTGAAGCTTGTGAGCTGTTTGTAAATACGGTTACAAATGTAGAATTTGTTCCTCGCTGACCATTGTTAACAGCAGAGCTCTGCGAGTCTTACATTCCAAAAAAAATTGATTTGTGGTTTTCACCACAATTTGAACATTTCATTCTTTTAGGATCTTCCTTCACAGTACAGTCATGAAGGCAACTCTAAGACTAGAAGGTCCCGAAGAAACGTGCTCAACTTTTTGGCTCAGCTCTGGTACTCTCTTCGGTCCCAAGCGATGGAGTCCGTTAATCAATTTGCTTAGGACCAATAGGTTAGTCAAGTAGTGAGCCAATTTAAAATCGTTAGTTTCCACCGATTGGTACAGTCGTTCTTTGCGTGAGAGGAATCACCACAATTCATGCATTTAGCTGGCATGTAGCAATTTTTAGTTCCATGACCCCATCCCTGGCACTTACCGCACTGGGTAAGGTTTTGGAAATTTCCTCCAGTGTTCCTGAAGTGTTTCCACTTCACTTGGACATGGAGCATAAGGCTAGCTTTTTCTAAGGCCTTAAGGTTGTTTAGTTCACTAGACTTGAAGTGAACTAAATAAAAATCATCGGAAATCCTGTTGCGTGAATCGCCAGCACGGTATTCATTTTCATTTTGATTACATGGACTGGCTCAGCTCCAAGTAATTGTGTCAATTCATAAATTGATCCGAGGAATTCCCCACTGGGCAGACCTTTCAAGTCAACCCTGAACAGACGTTCAGTTTTAGTGTCGTAAGTGAAAAAATTGTGTTGCTCTGACTGGGTGTATCCTATGACTTACCTTCCCTACTAACATAATTCCTAAATTCCCGAGACATTTCGTAGAGTTCTTTGCATCTCTCTTGAGTAAATATTGGACTAACATACCTTTCCTATCCCTACCTGTTGTAAGGGCGTGGCCAGGACAATCCTTAACTGTTGGAGCGGGATATGTCTTTATCTGATGATCTTAGTGATTATTTCCTACTTACTATCTGTCCAGTAACAGATATCCGTCTTGCTCTTAATAGTTTCGAATTCGTACCACCTACGATATTGTGCAACTTGTTCGCTGATAATGCTAATGCTAAGTGAAAAAATGTGTTGCTTCTCAGTAAGATACTTGAGAAGACGTTTGAATCCGTTCAATGTTTCAGCCAATACACGGCATTCACCCCGTCAGCCAATTTGAAGTGAAAACTTGAATTTAACGAAATTCGAAAGTTCCGTGCGAAGAGCATGGAAATCGGAAGTAGTTATCACAACAGGGGGGACCTTTTTTTCGTGGCATTAAGCCAGGAATGTTTAATGGAATTTAATTCCCTGGATCATGGATCATCCGTGAGCATATACAATTGATTGTTCAAATAAATTTCGTCAGATGGGGGATCATTTGCGTTTAGGCGCCATATGAGGGCAGAAGAAAGCTTCTTCAAATCGGCTTCCAAGCAGATTACTATAAGAATCCGAAGGATCGAAGAGTTATTTTCCAAATCGATATCTAAGCAGGATAACCTCGAGTAAGGTTCAAACAAGCACTAAATTAAGGACATGGGATATACTACAATAGATCAAATAACTGGGAAAGAAAGGTCCAAACCAAGGGTTTGGTCACTTCGCAAAGTGTGCCAAAAATACAGATGGGCACACCTGGGCACTTTAATTGGCACCCATGGTTAGAAATTTTCATGATATTTAAAGTTACTGGCAACACTGTACTATATCTGCGCCTGCTCTGTGCATGTGTCAAAATGTTAATCATTGTTATAGACACAATCCAATTTTAGGTTTCATAACTTCAACCGTGAATTTCCGGCGTAGTTCTGCCATGGATTCCTCACAGCGCACATATTTTGAAAACATTAGCTAAAAACCGGTCAAAAGGCAACGCAGTATGCTTGTGGGATGAGCGAGGTCATCAAGGCGATGACCGTTGTCAAGTACAACTGTAATCTGGGGGTGATACTGGAATTTTTCCGGATGGTGTTGGAGTCGCGACCGGAAGACTTTGAGATCCGAGAACCTCCACTCAAGACGATCGAACTGTTCAAGGATCTGGTGCGGAAGGCTTTGGTGTTTCAGAACAGTTTGATGGAAGTTGGGAAGGGGGTGGCATCGTTCCGGAAGCTGATTGAAAAGATGACCATGAAGGGACTGCTACTGGTCATAATGCCGATATGGAATGTGATTAATGAGTTGGCTAGTGGAGAGAACAAGACCCTGAAGGAGGAAGAGAAGGGAACGTTGAAGACGTTGGTAGATCGATTTGGGGTGGGGAGATTCGTGACGGAGCTGAAAGTTAAGTGGAATTGTAAGATTCTCATTGGTCAGTTGTTGGATTTGAATGTGAGCTCTTGAAAGTTGACATCGGTGAGTTGGTTTAGCTCTCGGACATGACCCTGGTAGCCCAGCGCTTGAAATAGAACATTTATAGGCTTGGCGGAGAAGAAGTCCCGGCAAACTGTAAAATGAGCGGTGTTTCCATGGTTCCCAGCAATTGAAGCTGTTCGGTGAGCATTTCAACATCGCGATGTGTGCAATTATCCTCACAGAACTGATCCGAACGCAACTTTTCAAACTCTATGAGGTACGAATTGACTATACAATCCGAGTCGCACAGAACGTCTTAAGGGGATCGGTGTCCATACAAAGGCCACCATCTGGCCGTAGTAGTTTTATCAGTGGTCGTTTACCATGTTTGATTCCGTAACGCTTCACCAGTTCGGTGATCAGCCAACTGACATTCATTTCCATGTTTCGTTCCTCAGCGTAACTGACATCGATAAATTCGCCTTCGATGATCAGTCGGACCATGTTCGGAGGTAGAATCTTCACCGG